GGGAAAGAAATTTCCATCTCTCTTGAACTTGCGTTAAACTCTTTCCCATCTTTTATTCATAAGTTTCGTTTTCTAAACATCTATGATAACTAAAGTATAATTAAAAATCCGCATATAAATGCTAATAACGAAATGTAAATAAATACTTTATTGCGATGTAACCAATGAATAGTAAATAAAAAACAAATTTATAGAACAAGAGGAACTTAAAAAAAGTAAACAAGAATAAACCTATTGGGGAAAAACCGAAATACTTGCTTCATCAAACAGATCAATTAAAATTGTAATAATTGCTCTCCGCGCCCAATATTCCAATGAGCTTAAATTTACATGCCAATGATTCCAGTAATCCTGCATGCTGTACGTGACACAATCGGAAGATGAGCTGTCCAGTACCAGCGACCCATAGAACCTGCAGGGCATTGGGCGGCGGACAAAGTTGATTGCAGTCTAACGGCTCGTCTAACAAGAACTCGACCGGTAATAGATCATTATTGAATTGCACATTTCAGTCCGAACGAATAGAGAGCCAAGAATTTAGAAATTTAGATTTTCGATAAAGCATTTGAAAGCTTGACTACCACTAGATTTCAATGCTTTAAATGTGTGACTGCGTTTTGACAACAAACTACGTCCTTCCTCTAGCCAACGCAATGTAAATTTTGAAATATTTTTTAATATTTAAGGAGCGGGTTTTGCTCTGAGCTTTTGAATCGGTTCCGATAAATATTTTTGTTGGGTTTTATAGCGCTTTATATTCGTAACGTTTAACTCTCATCAACGACAATCAATACGATTTTTTCCATAAGTTGAGAGCAGGTGTCTGTCAGTCAACTATTTTTGCAGTGAGATTTCAGATTGGTTTCCTACAAAAACTCTCTTTCACCTATCTTTTCCCAATTATTAGATGTCTCATCATTGAAGGCAGGCTTCAATTTACTTATAGGCCTTATTGTCCCTGAAGCAAAAGGTCTGCAGACATTAAACTGTGATCGAAGCCATTCGATGGCGTTTACGCGAAATAAAGATTATTCAAGACGTTGGTCAGACCTCTTCTTGAATATATTCCATTTGGTTAGTCTTCTTGAACGTGTTCGCAAGAAGACTTTACAATTTGCGCTGTGCAATCTTGATTTAAATCCCAACGCAACGACCATACGAAGCTTACCCTGGCTGCGATATAACTTGTATGTGTGATCGGCTCAACTATAGAGTTTTCAGTTTTACTAAACGAAGTTAACTCATTAATTTCGGTTAAATCGATTGCAGCAGTGCAAACTCCATTATGTCAAATATTTCAGTTTCTTTGCAGTTGTTGGCGTTCACACTTGTATTTGCGAACAATACTAGCAAAGAGCACCCACCTACCTACCTATCCCTCTCATTACTTAACTTTCCAAATAATTTGGTTTTTTCCACTAATCCCATATACTCCGTTGTCGCCCTATGCGTACGTAGTTTTACGATTATTATGTATGGTGAACGTGCGCTTATTTATAAGTTTTTCCCCCTTTATTTACTTTTGTTTATTTTAATGTTTTTCTTTTTCTATTTTTAACTTAGTTTAAAGAACTTTTATTATAAGATTTATATACGCACTCGTAGATTAGTTTGAACTCGACTGATAGCGATTTATGCCAAGTTTTTTTCTTTCTAATAAATAAGTAAATAAAAAATATTTATACTTTCTTATGAGGACTTATGGATTGCAGAGGCGGATATTGAAAATAAAACCATTCTATATATATATAGCTATTAATCAGTTATTGGCGAAAGCACTTTAGAAAATTGGCTTTGTATGCGAACACGGACAAGAACAATAATCTTATGTATTTATTTGAGGTTAGGGTCATCAAACATTCGCCTTGTTTTTAACACCTCGTTTAGTTTGTTGTAATTTCGCATGTACGATTGATTGATTGTACTTGGGGATTGTTATTGGTAATCTTTCTATGTCAACTTTTATACAAATTTCTTGAGCAACATTACACTTAAGCTTGCAGAAGTTACATCTCTTAATGAACTGACATATATACGTATGTAAGTATATACATATATATCCACTTCTGGCGAATAAAACGAGTTTCAGACATCACGCTGCCCCCTTCTACGTTGAGTCGAACTCAATAGTATAGTAGTCTTATCACCTTTTCTAGGGGTTAGTTGATTTTCAATTATTGGATTGAAATTTCAGATATAAAATAAATAATAATAAAAAGTGTCGTTATCAAAAAAATGCCCTCGACAAGCATAACGTAAATAAAAAGCATTTGAGGATAGACGAATCTTTTATACCCACAAATCTTTATCGCAACAATGTGTAAAAAACCAAAAATGGTAAATTTTCATTCTTTATAACATTAAGTGGGCGTGGCGGACTTTTCTAATTTTTGTGGAAATTTGTGTGTGCTATTGTATTTTATGAATAAAAGTTTACAAGTAAAAAGCAAACACGCTTAAGCCAGCCTGCGGGCGCGCTCCTTCACGAAGCTTACCAGTTTCAATATCAAATTGCGCGTAAGAACTCCTTAAGGCTTGAAGAAGCCGACAGCTTCATTTTTGCGACCAGGCATATGTTTATTAAGGACATACACCGGCGGACGGATAGACGGACATGCTTAAACCGACCCAGAAATCCTTGGCGATCAATAATATGTTATAATCAGGAGTAGATTTACCACAGACGGACGAACGAACGAACATACTTAGATCGATTCAGATTTTGACACTGATTAAGGAGGTAGATACTTTGAAAAGTCTCTGAAGCTTCTTTCTTAGTGTTCCAAAAGTTTTAGCAAAATGAATATACCGCCATCCTTCGAAGGTGGATACAATAAACAAGCAAGAAAAATTTATAAAATTATAAAACTGATAAAGCTACGGTCGTCTTAAACTTTACTTTAGAAATACACCATCTGGTATAGCTATACTTTAAAGAGCATATTTTAATTTCTTTTTCTTTTTACCTCTTGTGTGTCATTCCTACTTTGAAATTCAAGCAAGAAAGCACATATACAAATACATTTTGGGTATCTCGGAAGTGCCAGCAATATGGTTAAATCAGTACAAATATTGACCAAAATTTTTTTTTGGATAACATCTATAGCTGAGCTTGGTTTCGTAATAATGGATGAATCAAGTCTTTTCAGTCATAGACAAAACGTTTACCTCCCTCTTCGATTTTCATTTTATGATATGATAGGACTTTGACCATTTCAACATTGTAAAGGAAACTAGAATAAATGTGCAGGATATGATATCAACTTTAACAGGTACCTTCAAATCTCTCTCTTTCTCTCTTTATATATGCACTGTTGGGTGCTGCAAGCAATGTGAAAAAATTAGTATACCGTTTTTGCTCGGCTTTTCTGAAGTTTTTATTTATTGCTTTATTTTATTTTCTTATTAAGGTTTTGCTGATAATTTTAATTTTTGATTTGAACAAACCAAAGCGTACAATCAACACCGCTTAACGTATATAATAACAAATAACAAATATTTGTTTAATAAAACACATATTAAGCTATATTTTGAAATTTGCATTGGATATACCAAAATTGGACATAACATCATCAATTACATAAAATCGAATTAACTTTGATTGCAACTGAAAGCTAGGCTTGTTTGGAAAATTTTCCTTCCGCCTTTCATATTTTAGTTTTCCTTTTAATGCAGCAATTTGTCACCGTCCATCATCTAATAATCAAACAGTACGCCTATGCAAAATATACGCATGTTATGCAAAGATTCCATTAAATATTGTCCTACAAATAGTACCACAGCACAATATGCCAAACTTATGGAGCTAACGAAAATTTATTTCCTTGAACACTGTCCAAAATGAAAATTCTATTGAGAAAGCCTTTTTCTGGTCTCTATTGTCAATACATTTTATACACTTTGTTTGAATTTATTATAGAATTCTGATACAACCCTTGAAGCAGAATAAAAAAACAAACGGAAAAAAGCATTTTTGTTGGCGGTTTCAGCTCACCATTAAATACTCTACACCACTTCGTTTATTAAAGCCAGTTATATAACGACTTTTCAAAGAAAGGCGTTATATGGAAAGTGATCGCAAGAGTGGCACGATTCTTACCGTTTTCAATAGCGTCCGTTCTTCGGGCAGGACATGTCAGTGTAACATATTTGGTACACTTGGTTTGGCTGGTGGGCAAATTGAACACAAGAATACAAGAGGACAGACGTACATATAAGCTTAAATTGGTTCAGAAAGTGATTCTGAGTCAATCGGCATATTGCAAGGCGCGTCTATCTGAAGCCCTTCTGATTGTTATATACATCAGCACAAACCTAATATACCTTTGTACGATAAATAGAGTATAAAAAGAGAAAAGTTGTATTTGGCTTAGAAACAATTGTTTAATATCCGCCATCGTTACCCACATAACTGTCTGTGGAAAGAATAAATGTTTAATAAATTAGGGTACATATGGCTGCAAATATTTTCGTATGCATATACATTTATGTATTTACAAGTTATTGCTTGAAGAGCGAAGATTAATTCGTAGATGATATCATATATGATGTAAAAATATATTGTATTTGAAATGATATGCCTACATAAATTTAACTCGCTATAAGCTATAATTGTTATAAGAAACATATTACGACGTACTAAGTTAGTGCAAATGGATGCCACACCCGGAAGAATTTGAAATAAATCCACCTTTTATTAAACCGATCGTTTCAGAATAACTTTCAGAACAGCTTCCTGTATCGATATAAGCTTGTCTGTCCCTCTGTCTGTCTGCAGGCCTCAATTTTTGACATATTTTGATAAAATTTGATGCACTGACATGTTTTGGCCTACGGACGAATGCTGTTGAAAATGTTTTTCGATCTGACACTTTCCATATAAGAGCTTATTTTGAAAAGCCATTACATAAATAACTATATTAAGCGAAGAGATGTGGAATATTTAACGGTGGGCTATGTTCCACAATAACGATTTTACATTGAGTATTGAATTCACTTACCCGACATAAAATGCAACAGAATCGATGTAATGGGATACAATACTGGACTGTACGTAATATCGGGGCAATCATAAGCCAATACATTAACAATACGATCTGCCACCGAACGGCCGGTACGAGTTAAATGATACGGTAGGCAATGAGCTGCATCAACAAAGGCGGGTAACATGATTGGTTTCTCAGATAACTCAGTAGTGCCAAAAACCTTTAAGACAATTTTCAAGAAAATTTTATTAATTGCTTTACAGCAAAGAAAATGAACAAAAAAAAATTATAAAAAAATACATTGAAATTCGCTCACCTGATGGACCATTTCCCAGTAGAAACCATCAACCATTTGTGGTTTACTTTGATGTTGGGCGCATAGAGTGGGCCATAGCTGTGATCTTATAGGTGAATTGATGGGCCAAGAATTTTCGCGTAATATATTTTTCACTTCACGTTTTTTACCTTGATCCAATAATTGTTTGATTTCAGTAAAAGTACGCAGAGCTGGTTCTTTGCCTGAAACAGAAAATCTTATTAAATACATGTTTCGAATGCTTTTCAATATGTTTTTTTTTTTTTGTTTTTTCTTTTCAAGCCATTCATTATTGTTTTATTTTCAATTCCTGGGAAATTGTGTTGTCTAAGCGAGCACATGATATCAATTTAATTAAACGTTTGTCTTAAAATTGTATGCGTGCCCGTTATCATCAATGACCGCTATCAGCGTGATTGTTGTACGAGTCTTTTTTTTTTTTTTTAATCTGTGCTACATTCTTTTCTTTTTCCATTTTTTAAATAATTGTTCGTCAAGTGGCAGTGAACGAAATCCCCATGGAAAGCATTCATTACTTTGTCATTTTTAATTCTATTTATTTAGCTTACTGTGAAATTTTATTTCTTTACTGTGAAAAAAAATTTGAAGAGCATTCTATAAACTTCGTGACAGACTATGAAAATTACTTTCTTGAGATTCTTGATTGTGAAAAAAACTTATATGAAGTACATGTATTAGCAATGTATTTTTTTTTTTAAACTTCCAAGTCATAATTAATAATGAATCGTTAAAAACGTTTCCCTTTTGAAAATTAGGTGTTCATAAATTTTACTAATGAGCGTCTAACCTTTAGTTAGTTAGTAAGACTTAATATTAATTTTAGAGAGAACTTGAGATTGAATTTTTTGCAAACATTAAAGCTTAAAAGCGTCGGCGTCGAACACTAGCCATAACTTAAACCCTAAAGAGGAAAAATCAAATCTATAAATAGCAAATAAGAAAATCATGTACGACTAAGTCGAATTTCCTATACCTGACACTTTGACTTTGATACTTTATTCTGTTGAATGGGCAAAGACGACTTTTATCATGTTTGTATCCCATAGAATGGCGTGAAAATTTCTAGCGCTATCTACCTTAAGACATAAATAATGAGTTTCCGCTGACCGATTTCTTCTTCGTCTTCCACACTTGAAGTCGGTTCATAGTTTGATTTTTACGAATAGGAGTAAATTTTTCTCACATGTCTGATAAAGTTTGTGAATAGGGAATGAAAAACTCCGAAAGCACAGATGATTTCAGTTGTCAATCGTCTTGTAGGACTGTTCTCTCACAAACACATTGTACAGACGGACACGCATAAAACGATTCAGAATTTGATGCTGACCAAGGATTTATATACTTCATGAGGTCTCTGGAAAGTCCTACTGAATTTTGCAAACGTTTCGACAAAATAAATATGCCCTCATCGCTTAACGGTGAATAAGAAACGCAATATAAGATTGTGTGTTCACTTAGATATTCTTAGATAGGTTCAATAATGATAAACACCATTTCTAACGGCAAATATTCATGGAAATATTAAGAATAAGAAAAAGTAAAAAAAAACAGTCAACATTTGTCATTCCCCAACAAACTCCATCAGCTAATTACTTTCTTAGGGAGACAAAAATAAATTCTTTCCCATTCTCAAAATTAAGTCATTTTGATTGCTTAATGTGCAAGCAACCCTCGCCCCATTTTTTCAAATCACGTCTTGCGGAAAATTTCAATTATCAAAATACTATGTTGTATTCTAAGGCGTACTAAGAGCGGCATTTACCATGAGATTGGGGAAAAATCATATTCCATAAATTTTGAAAGAGATATTATTGATCAGAAAAAACCAGTCACTCTTTAGCTTTTTGTCTTGACAATCATTAAATTTCAAAGACAGCCATATATTGTGGGTAATTATTAGATATTAGTTTATTGGCATACTTTACGTCGATTTATTGCATTTTAAAGTGACAAAAACTGATTTCTGTTTACAATATAAACAAAGATTCATTTTTGGAAAAAAAAAAAACATTTATTTCATTGTTTATGAAAGCAAAGTAATTGTGACCAGGTCTGCATTTTAAAACTCTAAAGCCGTAAGCGGGAACTGCTTCATAGACTATATATTTATAAACCAAAGGAATCTTCCAACAATTATAATACTTTTCTTTTCTATTCTTAGACATTACTTTAGACTACATACCAGAAAAAACAAAGAGGAAGAACGCCAAATACGATGAGGGCAAATAAGCTTTTGCCGCCGACTTTTTTATTAAAAGCAAAGTCTATTATAAAACGCATGGCGCGAAATACTTCTTTCAGATAATTACCTATTGTCAGCTGCGATTATTTACTGGAAAATAGCTTACTGCTCCTTTGGAGCTATTTATAAAAGGAGCTATTTTCAGAATATTATTATAAGAATAATAAAAAAGAAATTCAATTCACTGCTGTTGAATGTTCGTCAGCCGAATTTCGCCATCTGTGACTAAATGTCATCGTTCTCATCGCCAGCAGCAATTCAGCACTACCTTTGTTCAAAAGGGGACAACAGAGAACTTTTCCTGTTCCAATCTTCTTACAGTTTGCCACGCATTATTCAGCCGTACTTTTGTTCCAAAAGGCACCGACTCACACTAATAAGTTTTCTTCGCCAAGAACTTGTTCTATTCAAAGCCCCTTATGAGAATAATGACAATTACTTATAATGTTGCATAAAATTTAAAAGTTAGTACTTTGACATGGAGAAGTCACGGTTTTATTCAACAACCAAAAAAAAATGTATTCGTCCTTAACAATTATGTTGTGTTTCGGAGGTATCAAAAAAACGGTAGAAGCATGTAAAACTTAAAAACCGATGGGCAAAAAAAAGATTGAAATTAGGAATACACTTGAACGCTTACTACTTGAAGGTTTAAATTGGAAAAAAGAAAGAAAAAGTTTATGTACGGCTTGAGTCAAGTTTATTGGCGCTCAATTCATTGTATGCAGAGAGAGAGAGAGCGAGAGAGAGAGAGAGATTTATTACATGGTTGGGCTGGTTTTTCAATACGGGCGATCTGTTGTCTTCTTGACGTTAAAGTCGTTCTGCTTTTGTTAGTTATTTATAATAAGCTTCATAATTTTTTCACGAAGGGATCGGTGTACGTCTCTACAAGCTTTGCAAGTTATCGAACTTTTTTATCGAAATCTTTCCCATATTACAACATTTTGTGACCTTTTGCCACACACGACGTTTATCGTAATCGTCCTATTCTACCCCAAGGGTGTGAAGTTATATTTAAATATAACTAGCAAAGACACAAACTAAATTTATTTACAGAGCTCTGTAAAGCCGTTAACAGAATTCTGTTAAACGAAGTCTCGGAGGGATTTAGCTCAAAATACAAGTAAAGTAGAACTTTTCGCAAATTTTTTTGCAAATTCTTATAAACAAAACATGACTTTATGTAAATTAACTAATATTCGAAGCCAAAACTTTTTTACACTATGCCATAAATGAGGTTGAAAAAGCGAAAGTTTACGGAGCTACTGTGACCAAACCATCTCCCTTGAAAAAATGAAACCAGCACAGAGTGAATCCTCTATTAATAGCCTTTCCAACGGTGTGCGGGTTGTATTAAGTTTTGCCC